TCAGTTTTTCGTGAAGTCTTTCACTGCCCCTACAAAGTGCCACCAGTGCACCTCCTTGATGGTTGGGTTGATAAGACAGGGCTGTTCCTGTGAAGGTAAGGACAGCAGGAAGAAGGCCCAGCTGCTTGGCTGTGGGCTGTTGCCACATGGTTATAGGCTCTAAGCAAACGGATGGGTTTGAATGCCGTCACCGCTGCCGCCGCCTCGGTGACTGAGCAAGGGTTATAATGTAGATGATAGGAAATGCTCCGTCACGTTGATTCTTATCCTATCTGCTAGTGAACGCGTGGAGGTTATAACTCCAAACGTTTCTTTACGCCTTTGTAGTCATTGAAACACTTGTTTTCAAATAGTCAGTAAAAGTTGCCAGACATAGAGCCCTGGGAAATAGCTTAGTGAATAAAGGACTTACCATATGGGCATCAGGACCAGAGCTTGGTCTCCAGCACAAATGCCAGGGTGCCCACCTGTAATCCCAGCCCTCAGGAGCGGAAACAGGAGATCTTGGAGGGTACTAGCATGCTGGACCCGCTGAAGTGTCGAGCTCCTGGTTCAGTGAGAGACCTGGCCTCAGAAAATGAGTGACGTGTGACAGATGGAGGAAGATGCTAGACATCAGCCTTGGACTGCACGTCCTCACACATGTGAACATGTGCTCCCACACATACAAACACATATACATGCATGCGAAGCACACAAATTAATTCAGCATTGCTGATAGACATCAAGTAGCTGAATGTTCATTAGTAACTCTTGCAAGAGAATTTGGGGGCTGATAAGAAGTTGCAGTAGGAAAAAGAGCTAGAAAAAAACCTCCAGAGACCACTTTGGTAGGGATTATAAATTTAAATCAGCCATGTTGTTTACAAGGTTGGGATTTTTTGTTTATTTGGTTTTTGTTCTGTCTTTTACCCATTTGCTTCTCAGGTTGATCACTAATATTAAAGAGAATAATAATATAAATAGTAAAAACATTTACTGCTTCTCAATGAACTTCTGACTTACAAATAACTGGATCTGTTTTTCAAATGATAAAATGGTTGTTTAAAATAAGGAAGAAAATAAGCATTCATCTAACTATGTAATCAGTGCTCAGTGATTTTGTTGTTGTTGTTAAAATGAATTTTACCTAAATTATGTCCTTTTTCCCTCCAAAAGTGTGTGGGTTTTCGTGTCATATAACGTGTGTGAACAAAGCTCCGACTGCTTGTCCGGTTCCTCCTGAGCAGACTAAGGGTCCCCTTGGTATAGACCCACAGAAGGG